CTCCTTTCTCCTCCTCTCTTCCTTCCTCTCTCTCCTACTCTAATTTCCCCCTCCCTTCCTTCATCCCTCTCTATTGCTGTATCCTTTTGTGCATATGGACTACTCAGAGGGCTGAAAAAGTTATTTTTGACTGGTCCTCGCACTTTTGACCAGTCCTTGAACTTACGACTGTCCTCACATTTTACGTTTTTGCCCTATCTTGTCACCATGGTGAAGAAAAGCAGTTGTGAAATGAGGGACATGGTTGTTAAGAAAGCTGCACAGGCATAAATGTGAGGATGGTCATAAGTGTGAGGACCGGTCAAAAGTGTGAGGCCCAGTCAGAAATGACTTTTTTCAGCCCTCTGAAAAAAGTCTATGCACATAGCCACGCCTACCCGGTCACATGACGAGCTACCCACGCCTACACAGTCACGTGACCAGCTAGCCATGCCCACCCAGTCACATGATTGCCAAGCCACACCTCCAAGTAAGCCACGCCCACAGAACCTGTTGTTAAAAAATTGAATCCCACCACTGGTGAAAGGGCCTCATAAGTGGAATAGCCTAGGGCCTCTTTCAATCTAAATCCGGCCCTGCCTCCGGGTGCCGTCGGCCAAACAATGTCGGCTGGCGACCCCCAGGGGAGAGCCTCCTCTGTAGGGGCACCTGCCCTCTGGAACGAATTGCCCCCCGAGATACAGAGGATTTCCGACTTACGCACCTTTCGCTGTGCCCTCAAGACGCTTTTATTTCAACAAGCTGGGCTGGCCTAATTTTTAATCTTTTAATTTTTAACTTTTAATTTTTTAAAACGGGTTGTTTTATTCTAATAGATATGGGCCAAATTATTTAATATTTCTTAAATTGTTTTTTAAATTTTATATCTGTGTGTTTTATCTTGGCTGTACACCGCCCTGAGTCCTCCTGGGAGAAGGGCAGTATATAAATTAGATAGATAGTAGATAGATAGATAGATAGATAGATAGATAGATAGATAGATAGATAGATAGATAAATATAATTCTGATGCCTAAAAATACAAATGATGTTAGCTCTTATAATGCAAGTCAAGGATACAGTGGGGGAAAATGGGACTAAAATTATATACAAATGAAACCAAACAAATGACAATAGGCACAGTAGCTATTGTTAAAATTTACAATGAAGATACTGGTAGACAGCTTCTGTCTTTAGGACCAACTATCAACATTAAAGGAACCAGCAATCAAGGATTACACTACAGACTAGCATTTAGTAGAACAGCAATGAGGACCTTGGAAAAGACGCCAAGTTTTGTCTATGCCTACAAAGATTGTAATTGTTTGAAATTATATTGCCAGACAAACTTTGTCATAGTCAAAAAGAGCAGAGTTTGATATGAACATTTTACAAAAAATAAAAGTAAAAAATTCAGCAATCTTGCTTTTAGCTTCACCTTCAAATGTCAAATGGGGACAGTAAGACAGAGATGGTAGGCACGCTGGTGCGCTTATGCATGCCCCTTTACGGACCACTTAGGAATGGGGTAAGGTCCAAGGTAGACAGTTTGAGGTTGAAGCTGTGAGGGTTTGAGGCTGTAACAACAGAGTCGGGTACAGCATTCCAGGTGTTGACCATTCTGTTGCTGAAGTTATATTTTCTGCAATCGAGTTTATTCTAAAGACAATTATATGAAAAGTGTAATTATGGGTGCAGATATGGTGCATCCAGTTTCTAGTAATACACTAAATATATAACAAGAATTATTTGGCAAACATCAAAAGCATTGTTGGAAAAATAAAACATGGCCTTAAGAAAGGAGGAGGGTTTTTAAGACAAACAATAGTTTGAAAGACTTATACAGAATAAAACCATTATTAGGACATATACGTTATATAGATTATTATTAAAATGTAACATGGAGACAGAAAAAGCAAATGACTATGTGATAAAGTCATACAAAATTTTAAAGAAACAATTAAATTTCAACTATAGGATAACTTATTGAAATATTCAATACAATTTACCCCAAACTATAATTTAGGAGAACCTGGAACTCTATGTTTTACAGATGATATATAACTCTAGCCACAATTGCAAAAATAGATAAAATCCTATTAAATAACTGTTGGAAATGTTGTGATACAGGAGGAACATTTTATCCTATGTGGTGGTCATGTAAATATTCAGAAGCACTGGAAAGAAATACACAGCATTATTAATCTTCCAAAGATTAAATTGAAACCTCAGGGGTTTTTTATTAAAATCCTTCCACTACAACAAATTAAAATATCACAATCTACTAAAATATATGCTCACAGCTGCAATGACAAATTTGGCCCACCGGAAAACAGATAATTTGTCAACAATGTATGACTTGAAACCAAAACTTGAGAAATACTCAGTAATAGCAAAATTAATAGTATACATCCAGAATAGAAGTTTGACTAAATTTATATCGCCACCTAACTTGCCAAAAATAACTGGGCAGCATACAATAACAATTTTATTAGATATTTTAACATATGGTAAGTAAAAGATAAACATGAAAAATATATTAAAAAGTTAAGAAATAGAGAAAAAACAGGAAACAGTACCTGTTGGCGCAGGTAGAGCCTGGTGGCGCAGCAGACTAATAGCCTGTTATTATCATCCAGCTGCCTGCAATTACTGCTAGTTCGAATCTCCCCAGGCTCAAGCCTTCCATCCTTTCTAAGGTAGGTAAATTGAGGACCCAGTTTGTGGGGGCAATAAACTGACTTTGTATAAATATATGTATAAGTATGAAGGCTATTGCTTAACGCATTGTAAGCCGCCCTGAGTCTCCGGAGAAGGGCGGCATATAAATCAAATTAAAAAAAAAAAAAGTACAGCAATTACAATCTTTACAATCTGATCTTTACAGCAATTACAAACTGACTTTCCGTCCTCCTTCTTTAAAGTTACATTACATGATTACCTTCTTTCCATATAATTTTTTTTTAATCAGCACATCCATAAATAACCAATTCATTTTTCTCATTTTCAGTAAGAAGTCTATAACAGATTTCTAGTCATTCATAAAAGTTCTTATTGTTTAATTCTGGATCAAACTGGTCAATTGTGCCATTTCTGCCACCTTTATATTGCATTCCTCCATTGTGAGTGTTTCAGTATTTTTCCACTTTTGTGCATATAGTAATCTCACTGTAGTTACTAGTCTTCCATAAATCTTTTCTAATTGGCTATCCATAAGTCCGAATTTAAAAAAAACATCTGGTTTCATCTAAATATGAATTTTCAACATTCTTTGTGTATTTGTATCCAAGTTTTTTCTCCACAAGTCCACTATGAATAGTCAAATATCCCTTAATGTTTTTCACACTTCCAATATTAATTACAATTACCTTTATAAATCTTAGATATACCTTTATAAATCTTAGATAATGCTGTCCTGGACCAATGGTACATCATTTTATAAAAGTTCTCTCTTAAATTATAAGACTAAAAGGCTAAAATTTCAGTCCTTTTAGCCACATTCTTTCCCATTGCTTCATCTGTATATTATGACCAAAAATATCAGCCCATTTTATGATGCACTTTTCAACTTGTTCTTTTGTTTCAAACCTCAACAGACATTTATATATTTTAGCAATTACATGTTCAACCCATGTAATTGGTTGTAGCCTGATCCCTTAACCACTATAACAAACTGGTTCTCTTTGTATGACATACTGAATTACCAATAAAGGATAATATTTGTAGCTCAAGACTGAAATGAGAGTTCTTTGCTGCTCTCTGAGCTTGGTTGTTTTCTTGCAGACATTTTATTACCCAAAGTAGGTAACATCATCAGTGCTAGAAAGAAATGGGGTTTGCTCTCAGTTTATATTCTAGTGGCTTGCCCTGTCAATGTTGGGGATGGTCTTAGAGGTTCTTTGGTGAAGAGTAAATAGCCCAACCAAAGAATCTCCAAGACCACTCACACAAGCACTGACAAGGCAAGCCATTAGATGACTAGAATATAAATTGAGAGTGAACCCTACTCCTAACTTCCATTGATATTGTTATCTAATTTGGGTAATGAAACACCTGCAAGACAACAACCAAGCTCAGAGATAACCAAGGACCTCATACTGAATTATAAATTATCCAACCATATTTCAGCCTAGATTTCTCTATAAACTAGCAATAAAAGCAGAAGCAGCAATTAATTATTTAAAGTGGTTTAGATGCAGTCTATGAGAGCCAGTTTGGTGTAGTGGTTAAGGCAGACCATGATTCTAGTCTGGCCTTAGGCACAAAACCATCTGGGTGACTTTGGGCATTTTCTCGCAATCTTGGGAAGGAGGAAATAGCAAACCACTTCTGAAAAACCTTACCAAGAAAACTGCAGGTATTAATGCAGGCAGTCTTTGAGAACAGACACGATTGAATGGAAGATGTAGCCTAGCTAACAATTTGTCCAGTGTACTGCCTATTGAATTATCCATTCTGGCTGGAAATGAAAGCTTTTGAACTATCAGTTTTATTCAATTAATCCAATTTTCTGGGTTTCTATGACACCCTGAATTATCAACCATACCGGGTGTGCTTGGACAACAAACTAGACCAAGGCCATCTGGAGAGATCAAAAAACTAAAAATGGTGGTTGTGAAAGAATTGAAGCCTCATACCTTTTGAATGCCCCTCCAATATACTGGCCTTGGCACATGCAATCAAGATCAGTACCTTAATTTTATATTTACCTTTCCCCGCAAATATGGTTGTGCTACACACCAATACAGTTTGCAGTTCAAGGTTTCACATGAAAACAAGCTAAGCCAATCACTTTGATTAACAGTAGATGCATTACTTGCTATTGCATACAGCCCTTTAATCAAGGTCCCAAGCTCCCTTATGAGTAACATTCCACAGCAACCACTATTCTGAGTGGGTTCAAATGTTATAGATATTCCGCCAGACATGAAAAAATATCCCATGGAAATCTCAGAAGACAGAATTCGGAGCAATGGCCTTATGCTACAGAACGACAGATTTTGAATGAATGTTAGAAAAAAATATTGCTGAAATAGTTCAGCAATGGAACTGTTTATTAGCAAGTTGATAAGTTTCCATTCACTGGATACCTTCAGATACAGACAACAAGGCATCTGTCATGGATGTTGTAACTGGAGCTCCTACACTATGTAGACAGATAGTAACATAGTCCTCATTTAGCAACTGCAGTTATGATAGTATGTTTGCAACCAGTCCTTGCATTTACAACCGTTGTGGGTCTGTAAAGCAAAGGAAACCTGAGGAAAGATCATAAAGACAGTTATGGTTTCACTTAACAATTAATGCTTAATGACAAAATTGCTGGTCTCAATTGTAGTCACTAAAGAAGGACACCTGTAATTCAAATTGGAAATATATACTACCCCAGGTTTGTACCATATAAGCATGGGACCTTGTTTACATGGTCAGTTATGACAATGGGGGAAGGAATTAAGATGGCAGCACATGCATTTTCAATAATGTCACTCATTGTCTAGATACTCTGTGGCAAACACACCACAGAGATTCTCCTAAATTAAAGACCTGAAAAAAATATCAGATATCCAATCTAGAGCGCCACTGTTGCTGGAAGTTTTGCAAAATCATTCTTCATAGGTATAAACTTACTCAGAGGTTTGCTACTTTCCCATTTCTTTCCTGCCCAATTTTCCTTAGGTTCCCCTTTTTACCTTTCTTAAATCAGTTTAACAAATACATCTTTCCTTGTTTTTTAAACAGCTGATATAATGGTTATATAACAGAAGCCATGCTTTTGAGCTCTGCTCAAGGGTTGTGAAAACAGAACAATTCATTATTAACAGGAGCTCTCCAACATACGTTGGAGACCTGTACACACCTGTGTGTACCTGTACACACAACAGACCTAGTTAAAGGAAATGAGTAACAGTTTAGTCTATTTAGGAAAGGCACCCCCCCCCCCAAGATATCTTCCCCAGAAAAGGATTAAGCTGCTGCAGTCCACCTTGTGTTCCTGCTCCAGATATAAACCTTAAAATATGCAGGACACCCAAACTACTGCAAACTGAAAGGGAACAAGAAAAGGGGAACCCGAAAAGGTTTTATTTGTGATTATGACAAAGGAAGCGATGAAAAGCTAGAAAAACCTGCGCTGTCCGTCTACGGAGTCAAGTTTTAGCGACCAAATTAACCTGCAAGCCAGCCCCCTCGGAAGATCAAAGCTAAAGGACAGCCGCCTACAGGATGCACTAAAAGAATATGACACCAAGTTGTCTATCCAGCCCTCTTCGGAAAATATTTGTGTAGGAGAGGCCACCCTCCCCCCCCCACCCCACCCCTCCATTGCGCATCGCGCAGGACAGCCCCACTCCCCTGGGTTTCCAACGCCTTCACCTTTCCCCACACATTTTATTTTTCCGCGAGTAACGTATGCAAAAGGCTGCCGCTGCTTAGAGAACTCAAGGGGGGCGGGCGTCTTTTCCAGGTGACAAGCCCCTTGTCATCACCCGTCACTTTCCCTTTTGTTCGAGAAATGAGATGAGGGGGGAGGGGGAGGGGGGGGCAAGCAACCTACGACTCATCAAAGGTTTTGTTCAGTTTTGAGGAACCGGAGCCTCGTGCAACCTTTTTTCCAAGAGACCTTTTGCCCCACCCAGGCTTCGGTGGGCTAACTTGTATAAAGGAAGTGTGAAGAATCGGATCTGGATTCGGATTCCTTCCTCTCGCGGGACTCTAATACGGAGCCAAATTAGGAACCCCTGAATCCCGGGGACACACGCCCGAGTAACTCGCGGCCAGGGAGCTGCCTTCGCCTCGGCCATTCTCAGTTTGGGGCAGATGAATTAGGTTGCCAAAGCGAAGCCCCGAACCGAGCGACCCGCGCCGGCCTTGACGGGCTTCGCCAAAGCTCGGGTTTATTTAAAGGGCTGGAGGGGAGGGAGCAGGGCGGATTGATTTTTAATGGATTTCTTTCGGTCTCTCAAAACTCTACTAAACATCTCTTGTTTATCCGTGTATCCCTCCGCTTCGAACCTTGCGAAGGATATGTAACCGTATGGGCAATGTTCTTCCGCCTCCCAGAGAGGTGTCGGGACTGCAGAGGCGATGCTTGGCTGGTACCTCTCTTCGGCCCCTCGAGTTAAAACAGTACACTAAGGTAAGAATCTCTGTGGCGATGTATTCCTCCGCTCTCGCAAAAGAGGTCCTCTTCCAGTCTGGAGTGTTCCTCCGCCTTCTCGGAGCGCACAAGCAGGAGGCGTTTCTTATGGCCGTGCGAGGAAGCCGGGGGGCCTAGAGGAAAGACAAAAGGCTCTTGCGCACAGCAGGATTTCGCCCGCGCGGGTCTGCTGGAGGTGACAGGCTCTCCTCGTAGAAGACTCGCAACGTGCCGCGGCCCCGTTGTAGCGCTGCGGGGTCGTTCTGTGCGGCCTCGGGGACTTCTTCTCGCGGACGCGGCGGATGGATCTCTAGGTAGCGTTGCCCGAGATAATTCGCCCTTCGGTGCCGCCATCTTGGATTTTAATCCGCCATTTTTTCCCCCTTGGAATTATTTTTATTATTATTTTTTATGATTAATTTTTTTCCGCCTCTGGTTGGGAGTCTCCGCCTGGACGACAGAGGCTTTGGATTCGGGGGCCGCGGGGGGCGAGCAGGACGGCGGGGCCCTGTGGCAATCGGGAGGTGAGTGCTTCGCGTGGACGAAAGGAGGGGGGAGCTGCAACTGGCACACGGGCAAGGGCCCCACTCCTTCCGGGGAGGGGGCGGGAGGGAGAAGCGAGGCCCGCTGGGTTGGGCCTGTCCGGGCCTAGCCCGGAGGCACAGGCGTTATTGGGGGAGGGGGGCTGCTTCTCGTAGCTGAGGAAAAAGGGGGTCCCCTCGCAGAGAAAATGTGGGGAGAACCTTTATTTCCCGTGGGGCTCGGCCTAAGAGAGGTCTCTGTTGGTTCTCCCCGGAGAGGAGGACAATGCGATGGGGAGTGGGGCTGACAGGAGGACCGGCCGAGGTGAGAGGGCGTCGAGGGAGGTGGGGGGGGGAGAAAGAGCCAGGCGATGCTCGGCAGAACTCCGAGGGAAGGAACCGGGCCTTCCTCGCGGGGGGGGGGGGGGGGGAAGCGCCTGTCAGGCTGGAAGACACAGAGGTAGCCCAGCGGTATCGGGAGAGGCCTTGTCAAGTTGGCGACCCCGACTCGGCGCACCCCCTTGTGGGCTTCCATATGAGGGCGGCTGCTTTGGGTCGCGTCTCCAAGGAGCTGGAAGGACTTGGGGCTGAGCTGAGCTGAGCTCCCTCGGGGTTAGGCCTCGGGAGAGGGGGGGCTTATTAGTTTCAGCGCTTCCCCTTGAGGGCAGGGATCTTCGGATAGGCTCTTCTCGGAAGAGCGGAGCCTGGGAGCCTGCCGTTGGTAGGAAAAGGGCCGGAGCAAGGTAGCTGGTCCTGGGCCACTCGCCACCGAGGCTCCCGCACACCCGCTTGGGATTTAATAGCTATGACAGCTGACATTCCTGCGCTCCTGTGGCATTTCAGAGAGACAGGCCGGGGCGAGATTTCTCCGGGAGGTTCGTAAGCCCGATTCTTGTTCTGAGGGGGTCGTTATTTCTCTCAACGTTTAAAGGGAGGTTTGGGTTGTCGTGCTCGAGGCAGAAACAAACATGACTGGACCGGGTAGGGGTTGACTGTTGGAGGAGCTCGCCGCCCTCGGCCGCTGAGAAAAGCCAGAGGCGGCCTGTAGGGGGCACTGGAGATTTAGAAAAGAGTCTCTAAAGTAGCAGGGACTTCGTATCTACCGTCCCAATCAAGCAGTGAGAGAAGTAGTTCACGCTATTCCTTGTCAATAAAGGTAGTCCTCGATTTACAACAGTAGTTCATTTAGTGACCGTTCGAAGTGACAACTGCACTGAAAAAAGTGACTTATGACAATTTTTCACACCTATGACCGTTGCAGCATCCCTGTGGTCAGGTGATTTACATTCAGATGCTTGACAGTTGGTTCATATTTGTGACGGTTGCAGTGTCCCAGGGTCATGTGATAATCCTTTGCGACTTTCTGACCAGCCAAGTCAATGGGGAAGCCAGATTCACTTAACAGCCGTGTTACTAATTTAACAACTGCAGTGGTTCACTTAACAAATGTTGCAAGAAAAGTCGTAAAATGGAGCAAAACAAATTTCTCACTTAGCAACCTAAATTCTGGGCTCAATTGTAGTCGTAAGAGGAGAACTACCTGTACTGGAGTGCATTTGAAGGGAGTATTCCCAGTGTTGTTGAATGAAACTCTCAATAGCCGGGAAGATAATTCTTAGGGAAAGAAAAAATGCAACAGTCTCTTTTGATTATTGTGAATCTGAATCCTATAATTTTGGTTCTTAGCATTTTTTCCTAAAAATGTTGGTTTCAAAGAATATGACTGTACTTGCTAACACAATTAGATGTTAACATCAGCAAGGTAGCAGCATCTTTACTGAGAAGAAAAATGTCTTTGTTGTCTAGCAGTTTGATTAAAGTTGATAATTTACTGTGCTATAGTGTGAAATAGAAATAGATACAGAGATACATTATTGTATCACAAAGTGGTTTGGAAAATAGTTATTTTTAGACAATATATTAGGACACTTGGCATTACTCAAAAGCTTGCTGGTATACTTAGGGGAGAAGGCATATAATATTGAATAAGTATTTCTTAAAGACTTGTTGCCCAAATATTGCTGATACTGTCCTGCAGGGTATAGCTACAAGCAGACTCTGAACTGTGTTATAATTGAGGGTGTGCTTTCAGTCAATGTAGGATACAAATATCACACTACTAGATCTAATCCAGTATTCTCTATTCTGGATTTTATACATAAGAAACACTGGAAGATGCAGTCCTAAAACATCTGAAAGGCACCAGTTATGGAAGATAAACTTAATCTGTGCTTTGCAGCAGGAGAGAGAGAGAGATGATCCTTGGATTATTTTTCAATATACAGAAATTTCATGACCAATTAGTACAGTATGAAAAACGTACCCCAACTATAAAAAGTTTGAAAATCATTGCTATAAATTGAGCTATCTTTCATTCTTACAAAATAAGGGCTAAGGTAGCCTGTGAAGTCATAAAGTTGTGTGATGACTGGATTGTCAGGTTGTCAGTGCAGATTTAGCATGGTAAAATGCTTCACCATTTTCACATTAGGTAAGATTTGACTAAAATGCTTGTTCTTCAGCTAATGTTTTCTTTATATGAATAGTTGAGTGTCAGACTATTAAAAATATATTAATCCCACCTGTTGTCTAATCCCACCTGTTGTCTAAAGTGATTTGTCCAGATATACTGTAGTTTTAAATTTCTTTGTGCCAAATAAGTCAAAAGGTTCTAGAAAAAGTAAAATTAGCCTTTTATTGTGGATATATAATCTTTGGAGCTGTGTAGAATTTGAAAAGTTTAGTTGAAGTCTTCTCACAAAATTTTAATGTTATTTGGATAGCTTCTATTTATTTACAAATATATCAGCTTCATGGGTGGTAGCATAATCATGAAATTTAAAATATGTGCAATTTTTAAGATGTCCAAAAGATGTTAACTTTTTCTTTTTGAATTTTTGTTCCAAATGCATACTTTTTGTTCATATTAAATTAGGTTGTTTAATGGGATGTTGGTTTTTTTGTATTTAAATAAAGTATCTTATAAAAACAATGCTAGCCATGAAAAAACAATCTGTGTGCAATATTAATATTCAACTTGGTTGTAAAATTTTGTGTAAACTATAAATTCGCTACATGATTCTTATTCAAGCTAGATAGTAAACAAAGAAATGGGGGAGTCACTGATATTGTGTGTGTGCATTAGTAACAGTTTTACTAAACAAAGAAAAATTATACCGGTACCTATTTTTTCTACCTATTTTTTTCTTCTTTCTCCTTTGTCAAATAGTACAAACCAAATTGTTATTATTGATTTTATATATAGATAGATAGCATTATACTTGAGTTTCACAATGTATTATATGTATTTTTCTTTGTTTTAATTTCTCTGTAGTGTACATGGCTATAGTTTCCACTATTCCATTTTTTAAATGTTTCTTTTATTTCATAGCCTATGAAAATTATATTAAATGTATTAATGTTGTTAGGCAGATATATTTTGCATTTTAGGTAGATCTTAAGATAGTTTATTCTTTTTTGAGAATGTGACCTACTTTTGAATTTCAGCCATTAAGAAAGGCATTTGTTGGAAAGGTTCTTTTTTATGTATCTAACTTGTAAATACAGTAAGAATTTTGAGATTTGGAGTGGGTTTTTGTTATTTGTTTTGTTTTGTTTGTAATCTGCAATTATTTAAAAATATTTCATATATATTGATTAACAAGGTATCATGAAATTATGATAGTGTACAATGGGGCACTATCTTTACCAGGAGTGGTATTAATGTTAGAGAATGAGTAAGCTTTTAGATTCTCTATAATGCTTAATTAATCAACATTAAACAAATGGTTCTGGCAATTATGTTAACACTGCATGATATGCTGACAGAACTCTGCTGTACTTTAAGTTTAGCAAATTAGACAAGTCCAATCTATTGTCTGTCTTCATATTTCCTAAGGCTTTCATTGTTACATTGTTCGTTAATTCCATTGTGATTCAAAGGCTTGTGAGTTTACAAGTCCTCTCTTTTCTGCCAACCTCTTTATGGATCCAATACATTCTTTAGAGAAACCATAGGTGCAGAAGATGTGGTAATAATGACTATTGTATCAAACTTTTTCTATTATCAGTTTGGTATTCCTTGTGAATATGCTGGCACA